AGAGAGAGAGAGAGAGAGAGAGAGAGAGAGAGAGAGAGAGAGAGAGAGCAAATTAGTGGGCGCGCGCGGAGTGTAGCGGGCGCGTGGGTGATTATATGAACAGTGGATGATGATGATGATGAAGGAGGATGACATCGTGATGATAGCGACGACGGCGATGATGATGATGATGATGATGATGATGATGATGAGGGTGATGAGGGTGATGATGATGATGACGATGATGGCGGCGACGACGGCGATGATGATGATGATGATGATGATGATGATGATGATGACGATGATGATGATGATGATGATGATGATGATGATGAGGGTGAGGAGGAGGACACCCCTCAAATGCAGCCCACCCTCAACCCATGAATTTCCACCCCCCACCCTCTGAGTGTGTGTGTGTGTGTGTGTGAGAGAGAGAGAGAGAGAGAGAGAGAGAGAGAGAGAGAGAGTGATCGCGGCCTGCGCCATTACCTCTGGCCTCGGCCTCCACCCACGTCCGCTCGGCCTGCGCCCACCTTCGCCCACCTGGGACCACCTCCCCTCCGTCTCCGCCCACCTCCGTCGGCCTCCCCCCGCCATCTCCTCTCCTTCGTTGCTGCCACCTCCCATCCGCCTCCGGTTATCTCTTCCCACCATCTCCTCCACGCCTCTGCCACCTCCCATCCGCCTCCTCCCGCCCGCCTCCTCCCGCCATCTCCTCTCCACCTTTGCCACCTCCCGTCCGCCTCCTCCAGCCATCTCCTCTCCACCTCTGCCACCTCCCGTACGCCTCCCGCCATCTCCTCTCCGCTTCCGTTGCACTGCCCACACATCCGCCATCCCTCTGCCCGTCTTTTAAAACAAAAACAAAAAAAAAATGGTGCGTGCCCACCTCCCCCCGGCCAGTGCGGACCTTCTGTCTGCCTCTGCCCACCTCCCTCCCGCCATTGGGATCGCCAATCTCCCCTCAGCCTGCGCCCACCTCCCATCCGCATCCTCTGGCCATGTCCTCTCTTTCTTTCCGCTGGCCTTTCCTCGTCTGCCTCCGCTCACCGCCGCTCTGGGCTGCGTTCCTCTGCCCGCACATCCGCCATCCCGCTGGACATCCCATTGCCCGCCCTTTTTTCTTTTTTTTTTTTTTTTAACAGTGCACGCGCACCTCCGCTTGGCCTCCGACGACCTCTTGACCGCCTCTGACGACCTCCTGTCAGCCTCCGCCAACCTCCCTTCCGCCATTGGGATCTCCCATCTCCCCTTGCCTTCCCCCCACCTCGCATCCGCCTCCTCCTGCCATCCCACTGTGCATCCCGCTGTGCGCGCCAACCCTCCCTTCCGCCATTGGGATCTCCCATCTGCCTTGCCCTTCGCCCACCTCGCGTCCGCCTCCTCCCAACATCCCGCTGCACATCCCGCTGTGCGCGCCAACCTCCCCTCGGCCTCCACTGACCTCCTGTCCGCCTCTGCCCACCTCCCCACCTCGCGTTCGCCTCCTCCCGCCATCCCGCTGCACATCCCGCTGTGCCTGCCAACCCTCCCTTCAGCCATTGGGATCTCCCATCTCCCCTGGCCCTCCTCACACCTCGCGTTTGCCTCCTCCTAACATCCCGCTGCACATCCCGCTGTGCGCGCCAACCTCCCTCAGCCTCCGCTGACCACCTGTCCGCCTCTGCCCACCTCCTTCGCCCGCTACCTCCACCCACCTCCGCAAGGCCCCCGCCTCTGTCCACCTCCCCTCGGCCTCCGCCCTATGCCTCCACCCACCAGTCGGCCTTTTCCCGCTCTCCTGTCCGCCTCCTCCTGCCTCGGCCACTTCTCCTCTTCCCACCTCCCCTCGGCTGGTGGCCCACCCCCCATCCAACTCGCACCGTCCTCTACCTCCACCCGCCCCGCCTGCTATCTTCTCTCCGCGCGGCAAAGACGATCCCTTGGAGGGGGGGGAGAGAGAGAGAGAGAGAGAGAGAGAGAGAGAGATCTGTTTTCTTTCTTTTTCTTTTCTTCCCCCTCCATACATTGAGCGAGAGAGAGAGTTTCTTTTTTTTTCCTTCCCCCTCCATACATTGAGAGAGAGAGAGGGTGATCTGTTTTCGTTTTTTTCTTTTTTCTTCCCCTTTTATACATTGATCGTGTGTGTGTGTGTGTGTGTGTGTGTGAGAGAGAGAGAGAGAGAGAGAGAGAGAGAGAGAGAGAGATTCTTTTTTTTCTTTTTTT